ACCAATTCAGGGGCAGCAACCCAACAACGGGTTGCCTGATTGGTCTGAAAATTTCAGGGCGGATAGATCTTGACCTAATGAACAATTTTATACTCATCAGATTTGCTCTAAATGCTTTGGTTTCAGAGATATGAGCCAAAAACTGCATTTTACCCTATGTACTATTTTTTAGCCATGTCGGCCATCTTGGTTCGCGGGCGGGGTCATTGGACACATTTTTTAAACTAGATACCCTAATGATGATTGTGGACAAGTTTGGTTAAATTTGTCTTAGTAGTTTCAGAGGAGAAGATTTTTGTAAAAGATTACAAAAATTTACGAAAAATGGTTAAAAATTGAATATAAAGGGCAATAACTCCTTAAGGGGTCAACTGACCATTTTGGTCAAGTTGACTTATTTGTAGATCTTACTTTGCTGAACATTATTGCTGTTTACAGTTTACCTCTATCTATAATAATATTCAAGATAATAACCAAAAACTGCAAAATTTCCTTAAAATTACCAATTCAGGGGCAGCAACCCAACAACGGGTTGTCAGATTCATCTGAAAATTTCAGGGCAGATAGATCTTGACCTGATAAACAATTTTACCCCATGTCAGATTTGCTCTAAATGCTTTGGTTTCAGAGATATAAGCCAAAATCTACATTTTACCCCTATGTTCTATTTTTAGCCATGGCGGCCATCTTGGTTGGTTGGCCGGGTCACCGGACACATTTTTTAAACTAGATACCCCAATAATGATTGTGGCCAAGTTTGGTCAAATTTGGCCCAGTAGTTTCAGAGGAGAAGATTTTTGTAAAAGTTTACGGACGACGGACGACGGACGCAAAGTGATGAGAAAAGCTCACTTGACCTTTCAGGTCAGGTGAGCTAAAAAGTGGAGAGTGTTCATCCAAGGAATGTTCACACTAGTGTTTTTGAACCAGGAATGATTACACTAGTGATTTTGTACCGGAATGATTGCACTAGTTATTTTATACCCGGCGGGATTAATTACACTAGTGCTTTAGATCCATTCATTGATGAAGTGATTAGTACTCATTTTGAACACACGATAACATAATAATGCTTATTAACGAATGAGATTTAAATAAGTTTTCTATGCAAATCTATAAAATCATATGCTTTTAAATTGTCACTAATTGTAATATTTATATTTATTGGATTGCCGAAGTTTTTCTATGTATCAGCTTTTCGGTCGACTTGGATATTAAATCATATCTTTTATGTCCATATCAAAGGATGCTTCTGTAATTGAAACTTTATGTAAGAACAAATCTACTCTTTAAATTTGGTTTGTATCAAGTTAAATGTCCTGATCATTGATAAAGTATTTTGAGTTATAAAAATATCCTTTTCATCATCATCAATATTAGTTACTAGAAATACTCAAATTAATTACACTGGTTCCTTGAAAATCATTTTAAATTTAACCCATGTATTTATGTAAACAATAAACTGGTCTTATATAAACAAAACAACGATATCAAGATCGACGCTTTCACACTATTTTCATCCAATATTCTCTAGTGAAAAACAGTTACCCGGAATAAATACACGGCGGAATGAAAGTACGCGTACAATAGAACCAGTCTGCGAGGAGTGACAAAGGGAAAAAATTTGTTTAAAATGTGTGTAATAACAGAATCAAATAGGTAATTGGCAAATGGACTATTGTAACATGAATGTTTTAAAGGACATTTTATGGTAACTAAACAACAACTTGCTAATTTCTACACTCCAATTCGTCTGTACAAAGACACACAAAATGCAGTTTAAGGAAAAGAAATATTTTTGACGTTCATAGTATGTTGTATCTTACCTGTACAAATATGTACCTTCAATCCCTAATTACCTGTCAGCACATACATTTTCATGTGTTCCAATTGTCACATATTGATGTGTTCTAATTGTAGCATGAATGTCTTAAAGGACATTTTATTGGAACTTAACAAGTTCTTGTTAATTTTCTACCCTCAAATTCGTCTGTACACAGACACACAAATGCAGGTTATGGAAAAGACATATTTTTGACGTTCACAGTATCTTGTATCGTACCTGTAAATATATGTACTTTAAATTACCTATCAACACTTGTATGTATCACCGACCGTGTAAGGGCTGTATAGCCAATCAAGGACTTTAAAAACTTCCATTAGTTGTATGTATATTTAGTTAAGTTGTAGGCCCAAGACCACAATTAATGACGCCACTTTTCGATATTCACGAATATAGTTCCCTGTAATTATAATATATAAATATATTACTACTCTAATGTCTTTCTTAACAATATATCTTCAGAATGGATGCATTTTAAAAAAAAATATAGACTTCAACTGAATGATAGCTTTACAGCTGGCTAAAATAGGCAGTGTCAAATTTGGACAGGTTTATGTACACCTAATGGCAAATATTGGTTTATTAATTGTAAATTTCCAGATGCCAGAGGGCAGAGACATATATACACAGAGATTGGCAACTCCGTGAAATCCCGTTAAAAAACGCGGCCCGGAATGAGATTCTCGTCGATAATTATTCTACAACATGTAGACAAGTCAGGGATGAATAACCTCGATAGCTAATCAAGAAAAGTAATAGGAAAACTTATTTCAGATCAAATAAATTCTTTTTCTAAAAAACTACTTGAAATAGTTGTATTTTTTTTAATGTATTTGATTGAGAAAATATTTTTTTCTTTTTTTCGGCATTTCTTTTAATTTAAAAAGTAAAATCTGGTAATGATCATGATATTACAAGAAACATTTCTTTGCTAAAGTTTGCTTCTAAATTACACAGTGAAATTATGTGTGTCCGATTTTCCGGTCATTATTTCCTTAGAGTTGTGACTGTGGATTCACAGGTGTGCGATTACGCAATTTATTGCCCTCCGATCACCTGAACTTTGCCGGAGGTGAAGTTCTAAGTGGATTATTACTTGGTAATTGTTTTTACAACTAAACAAATTCTGACATTATTTTAACCATGACCAGAACTTTATTTTAACAGAAACACTGGGCTATACTATGAATAGGGTAAACGGACAGAAAGTCACTGTACAAAAAGTCACAGGACATAAAGTCACAAATTGGATAGGACAAAAAGTTGTTTGAATATATAAGAGAAAGATCTTCAAATAATATCTTTTTTTTACATTTATTCATTTTTAAGTTCAGGAAATTGTTCATAAGCCTTGATAAATGAAAAATTATTAAATTTTAATCATGCAAATAATATATTTCTTGGCACCATGAAGCCATTTAAGTGCCAAACCACATTGGCATTTTGTTATCATAACAATTATTTGATCATCATTGATATTTATTGAATAAATTTTAATTACAAAGTTGCTTCATATATTATAGTTCAATAAAAAATCAAAAAATTATTTTTAAAATTAGTGTTTTCTTGTTCAGAGAAAAATAATCTCAAAACTGAATTGTGACTTTTCGTCCGTGACTTTTTGTCCTGTGACTTACTGTCCTACATTCTACTATAGTATTCAATCAGGAACAAAAATAGTCATTTAACATGTCAAAAAAAGAAATCAGAAAGCAACTTTTTTATATAAAAAAAATATGTAGCCAGTAGAATTTTGTCTCGTGGAAAACGGATTTAAATGATTAATTTTTGATTGACCTACAATTACATTATTTGTGGAACCTTTGCATGAATTTCCTAAATGAACGTACATTATGTACAGCGTTGTAGAAATCACTATGTTTGCTGTCATGAAATATTGAATATGAATCTGTCATTATTTGTAGTTTTTTATAGACTTAATATCACAGACCCTGATTAAAAACAACGTGTATCATAAGTACAGTAAAATACTCTGCTGAACTGTAGAATTTTAATGTTCTGTTTCATAGACCACAGAAGTACTGCAACATCCTTATCTTTACTCTTTCCTATCGGGTAGTGAAACTCGAGTTTGAAATTAGAAAGATTTAAAATTGAAGACAAGTTTTATCTGATCTGTTGTGGGTTTATGTTTCGGTGCAGTGCTATGTGGGCTGTTATTTTCTTTTCATTTGTCATTTTTTTTATCTGTGTTACATGACCTTGTACTTTTTGTATTGCCCCTTGACATCTCCTGCTTCTGTTTAAACCTTTACCACTAATATCTCATCTGGTTTAAATAAAATAGTGTCTCATTCCCGGAATTTGTTATACAGGAATTCATTTTAATATCAGTTTTTTTATAAGCATATAAACTGCTTGGTCTCTTCACACAATTTATGTTTAGGACGGAATGCATCAATAGGTACATACATGTACCAGGTCACCAATATATAAGTACACGTGATGTGCTTTTGACCTCCACAAGAATTCTTAAACATTCATAGATGTGCAAAGAATATTTTTGTCGTTGGGTTGTTGTCTCATTGACATATACCTCACATTTCTGAATAGTCATAGCAGCTGTGCCTTTTCAATTTATTGCAGAAAATATTTGCATTAACATTTTTCAAAATAGGCGAGGTGAAACAGTTTTCACAGAATGAGGACATGTAAAACTGAAACAACACAACACAACAGATAAATATAAACAAGCACCATTGCTAAAGGACTGAAACAAACATAGATGATGACTAATATGAGCGACTAGTAGTGTACAAGTAGAGTGAACATTTCTTGCTTCTTATTCTACACATTTTGTCATTTCATGTAAACGTTAAATATGTTATTTTCCAAGGAGAGGAAGGAATATGTGAAACGAAATATTTTGCCTTTAGTACTGTCAAGTTATATATTCACAGGAGTGTTGTTGAATAAATGAACATTTTCCCTTTTTTTACATTATGCTACCTTTATGCTACAAAGGTAGCATTTCCATTCTCATGATATACAAAGATATTATAGAGTGGCCTTCCAATGATAGTCATACATGTAAATCATTGTCTCATTGGCAATCATTCTACATCATCATATTGTTATACATGTATGTAAAAATTATGTACATGTATACTTTTAAACGTAAAGAAGACAAATGAAGTTGAACACAAGATATTTATTTGCATTTTTATCCGTATAGTCTCTGCACAACTGCCACTTCTGTTTCAAATTCAATAGATTGAATGCGGAGTCTTGTATTTATTCTTAGTTCAATGATGTCACCATCACTTGCACAAAAATCGCATACACATGTACATCAAGTTTGGCATATGAACTATGATAATTGAACTACAATAATGTGTTGTTTTCACAGTCAGGATAAGCACATGTCATTTTCTCTCTTACAAAACCATTTTTTAGTATCACATTGATAGTAGTACATGTAATCGGTCCACTACATGACTGTGCAGTAACATTTGAAAAAAGTCATCACTAATAGTTGTTCCTGTCTGCCAGGGAATCTTTTTTTCAATCAGAAAGGCTAGGGAGTCCTACATTCAGCACATGTATGATATTACATCTCTTGTATGCTGCACTGTTAGGTAAATTTGATCAACATCTTTGTTCTTTTATAACATGCAGGATCCTGTTAAAATAAAAATGCTGTCAGATACTGAATGTAAATATACATGTATATAAACTTGTAAATGTCATCAAAGTGGTGGAAATAATGAAAAAAACAATTTATATACACAAAACCTGTATGTCTTGGGAAAGTAATTCCTGTGATCAATGGTGATTGGTACATTTGTTCTTTAAAGATGGACAATTTTATAAACTGTAGCCATGGACAGGTGCCTGTCTTTATATTGAAGAGAATGAAAATGGCTGACAGCTTGAATGGTCATTTTTAATTGTAAATTGCATCAAAGCTGGTGAAAATATGGAAAAAACAACTGTTATACACAAATCCAGTATGTCATAAGAAAGTAATTCATGTGCTGGGAATAATTATTCTCTAAAAATTGAAAAGTTTATTGACTGTAGACATGGACAGGGGCCTGTCTTTATCTTGAAGAGAATGAAAATGGCCGACAGCTTGAATGGTCATTTTTAATTGTAAATTGCATCAAAGCTGGTGAAAATATGGAAAAAACAACTGTTATACACAAATCCAGTATGTCATAAGAAAGTAATTCATGTGCTGGGAATAATTATTCTCTAAAGATGGAAAAGTTTATTGACTGTAGACATGGACAGGGGCCTGTCTTTATATTGAAGAGAATGAAAATGGCCGACAGCTTGAATGGTCATTTTTAATTGTAAATTGCATCAAAGCTGGTGAAAATATGGAAAAAAAAACTGTTATACACAAATCCAGTATGTCATAAGAAAGTAATTCATGTGCTGGGAATAATTATTCTCTAAAGATGGAAAAGTTTATTGACTGTAGACATGGACAGGGACCTGTCTTTATATTGAAGAGAATGAAAATGGCCGACAGCTTGAATGGTCATTTTTAATTGTAAATTGCATCAAAGCTGGTGAAAATATGGAAAAAACAACTGTTATACACAAATCCAGTATGTCATAAGAAAGTAATTCATGTGCTGGGAATAATTATTCTCTAAAGATGGAAAAGTTTATTGACTGTAGACAGGGACAGGGGCCTGTCTTTATATTTTAAAAATTGAACGTGGCCGACAGCGAGAATACTGAATTTTAATTGTAAATTGCATCAAAGTGGGTGATTTAATGAAAAATTCAACATATTTACACAAAACCAGTATGTCTTGGGAAAAGTGATTCATCTCATAAATGGTTTTATTCCTTTTCGAATGAAAAGGTTTTAATAAAAAATACGTCCGTGTAAAAAATTTTCATAACGCCTAAGCTTTCCCCTTATTATTGACCACAATAAAACGTTAATCGTCACAATATTTTAACTAACAATTACTACAAACTGAATAAAACAAGGTAAATAATTTACGAAATTGAAATATATACTTACATTATGCTTTTTTGAAAAGCTTGATGTAAAATAAAAATCGAAGCGGTGGTGAACTTGTCATGATCAGATTCAAAATGGCGATCTCGTTAAAGTCTCGTGTGATGCGTGTTTTTAATTGGATTTCGCTGACCACTGTTACAGTTGCCAATCTCTGGGTATATATATGTCTCTGCAGAGGGTGGAGACTAATGCATGTGCACATGCTTGCCTACATGGTGCATCATCAGAGTATTTTTATTGATAAATCTGTTGATGTTTCGCACCTGTGCCACAATTCCACCCCCAAGGGTGACTGGGGAATAGAAGTATGGTCACCATTGGTCTTCCTCCGACCGGCAGTAAAACCCGTGCTAAAGTGGGGCGTCCGTTTGGCTGTGCGGGATGTACAAATTTGCAGCCACGTCCGGTCAGAATGGGGACGTTAAATCCGATGCCTCGTGTAAAGAGAGTGCCACGCTCTTTGCACGTTAAGAACCCTTGCAACAACTCTTTGAGGGGTCCGTAGGTGACCTGTTGCAAGGCTAAATTTCTGTCCCTATCCAATATACCCTCATTTCCCGTGGCAGTCTAAATTTCTCCGACCTTAATCCCTTAATCTATTACAGAACCTACCTATTGTATTTATTGTGAACTTGTTCTCGTCCTGAATATGCATGAAATATTTGCCACTGGACGTTAAGCAACCAACAATCAATCAATCTTAGTTTCATCCCCCAAGGGTGACTGGGGAATAAAAGTATGGTCACCATTGGTCTTCCTCCGACCGGCAGTAAAACCCTTGCTAAAGTGGGGCGTCCGTTTGGCTGTGCGGGATGTACAAATTTGCAGCCACGTCCGGTCAGAATGGGGACGTTAAATCCGATGCCTCGTGTAAAGAGAGTGCCTCGATCTTAGCACGTTAAGAACCCTTGCAACAACTCTTTGAAGGGTCCGTAGGTGACCTGTTGCAAGGCTAAATTTCTGTCCCTATCCAATATACCCTCATTTCCCGTGGTTAACAAAAACTTTAAAAACCTCCCAAATAAATCACAATTAATATGGTTAATGTCATCTGAGGATAATGTTATAAATAAAAAAGTAAGTTTATTATTGTGTACTCTATTCAAAGAGAAAAATTTAATTCTAGATACAGTTTAGTCACCGGTAGTTTGTCCATCTATATTATATTGTAAAACTATACATATTATTCCTGTATAAATTATTTTGCTAAGAAAGACTTGATTTTGTTTAATTGTTAATAATCAATGTAATCAATATGTAATCACTTGTATGAAATTGAACTTAATTGTACTGCTCAAATTATTGGGCGTCATAATTGACAATAAAAAACTTTGTATTGTATTGTGTTGTTTGGCTGTGCGGGATGTACAAATTTGCAGCCACGTCCGGTCAGAATGGGGACGTTTAATCCGATGCCTCGTGTAAAGAGAGTGCCACGCTCTTTGCACGTTAAGAACCCTTGCAACAACTATTTGAGGGGTCCGTAGGTGACTTGTTGCAAGGCTAAATTTCTGTCCCTATCCAATATACCCTCATTTCTCATGGCGATCTAAGTTTCTGTCCCTATCCAATATACCCTCATTTCTCATGGCGATCTAAGTTTCTGTCCCTATCCAATATACCCTCATTTCTCATGGCGATCTAAATTTCTCCGACCTTAATCCCGGACGCCCCCTTTGCAGAACCTACCTATTGTATTTATTGTTAATTTGTTCTCGTCCTGAATATGCATGAAGTATTTGCCACTGGACGTTAAACAACCAACAATCAATCAATCAATCAATCAATCAATTCCAAATGCATTACTGTCGAACATCTGTCGTTGAAACCTCGTGGTTTTAACAACAACCGACAGTCATGCGTTTCAACCCGTTCCTGCTTGGGCCACCCAGATCCCCTCCCTCCCTTCAGAGTGGAGTTAAAAATGGACAATAATAATTTGGGTGAAATATTAATTGGGTACATTTGTTTTTATTATTATTGTAGGGCTGGCAAAAATTGATATCAGAATGAGAGAGGAAAAGATAAGAAATTTCAAAACTGATGTACAACAACTATAGATTCTTTTTTTTTTGTGTGTGTTCCTTAAGAGGACCTTTTATGATTCCGTTTGCTGTTGATCTATTGGTGGATCAGCTGGTATCTCAGTCTGCAGCAGGTCCTAGAAGCTTTGGTTTGCAGTAGCTGTCGTGGTCCTGGAACTTTAAGGCAGGCTATGGATCTAAATGGCCTTTGCTGTAATTGTCATGCTTTTTATTCATTTCTCTCCATGTCTTGTGCTCAGCTAGCTTTTCTGCATTCTGCTTTAATCTGCTTTCTTGAATTGCTGGTCTAAATTCATAATCCTGACTGTATTTTAAGTCAGTGTCCATTTTCTGCAGGTAAAGTTGACTTCGTGTTAAAAGGTCTACTCCTAGATTCTTACATTTCAGTTGGGTTGAAGTTCCCGGCATGTTGTTATTTCTATGTACTCTTGAAGCAAGTCGTCCTTCCATATTTTTGGAGTAAATTACATTTTTGGGCAAATTTACACTCATTGCTCTGTGAACTGCTTCATTTTTGTTTGTATTGTCATACAGTTTCATACTTTCAACAGCTGCTTTTCTTAGTTTCATCCCCCAAGGGTGACTGGGGAATAAAAGTATGGTCACCATTGGTCTTCCTCCGACCGGCAGTAAAACCCTTGCTAAAGTGGGGCGTCCGTTTGGCTGTGCGGGATGTACAAATTTGCAGCCACGTCCGGTCAGAATGGGGACGTTAAATCCGATGCCTCGTGTAAAGAGAGTGTCTCGATCTTAGCACGTTAAGAACCCTTGCAACAACTCTTTGAGGGGTCCGTAGGTGACCTGTTGCAAGGCTAAATTTCTGTCCCTATCCAATATACCCTCATTTCCCATGGTTAACAAAAACTTTAAAAGCCTCCCAAATAAATCACAATTAATATGGTTAATGTCATCTGAGGATAATGTTATAATTAAAAAAGTAAGTTTATTATTGTGTACTCTATTCAAAGAGAAAAATTTAATTCTAGATACAGTTTAGACACCCCCAAGGGTGACTGGGGAATAGAAGTATGGTCACCATTGGTCTTCCTCCGACCGGCAGTAAAACCCGTGCTAAAGTGGGGCGTCCGTTTGGCTGTGCGGGATGTACAAATTTGCAGCCACGTCCGGTCAGAATGGGGACGTTAAATCCGATGCCTCGTGTAAAGAGAGTGCCACGCTCTTTGCACGTTAAGAACCCTTGCAACAACTCTTTGAGGGGTCCGTAGGTGACCTGTTGCAAGGCTAAATTTCTGTCCCTATCCAATATACCCTCATTTCCCGTGGTAGTCTAAATTTCTCCGACCTTAATCCCTTAATCTATTACAGAACCTACTTATTGTATTTATTGTGAACTTGTTCTCGTCCTGAATATGCATGAAATATTTGCCACTGGACGTTAAGCAACCAACAATCAATCAATCAATCAGTTTAGTCACCGGTAGTTTGTCCATCTATATTATATTGTAAAACTATACATATTATTCCTGTATAAATTATTCTGCTGAGAAAGACTTGATTTTGTTTAATTGTTAATAATCAATGTAATCAATATATAATCACTTGTATGGAATTGAACTTAATTGTACTGCTCAAATTATTGGGCGTCATAATTGATAATAAAAAACTTTGTATTGTATTGTATTGTATTGTGTTGTTTGGCTGTGCGGGATGTACAACTTTGCAGCCACGTCCAATCAGAATGGAGACGTTAAATCCGATGCCTCGTGTTAAGAGAGTGCCACGCTCTTTGCACGTTAAGAACCCTTGCAACAACTCTTTGAGGGGTCCGTAGGTGACCTGTTGCAAGGCTAAATTGCTGTCCCTATCCAATATACCCTCATTTCTCGTGGCAATCTAAATTTCTCCGACCTTAATCCCGGACGCCCCCTTTGCAGAACCTACCTATTGTATTTATTGTTAATTTGTTCTCGTCCTGAATATGCATGAAGTATTTGCCACTGGACGTTAAACAACCAACAATCAATCAATCAATCAATTCCAAATGCATTACTGTCGAACATCTGTCGTTGAAACCTCGTGGTTTTAACAACAACCGACAGTCATGCGTTTCAACCCGTTCCTGCTTGGGCCACCCAGATCCCCTCCCTCCCTGCAGAGTGGAGTTAAAAATGGACATAATAATTTGGGTGAAATATAAATTGGGTACATTTGTTTTTATTATTATTGTAGGGCTGGCAAAAATTGATATCAGAATGAGAGAGGAAAAGAAAAGAAATTTCAAAACTGATGTACAACAACTATAGATTCTTTTTTTTTGTGTGGGTGTTCCTTAAAAGGACCTTTTATGATTCCGTTTGCTGTTGATCTATTGGTGGATCAGCTGGTATCTCAGTGTGCAGCAGGTCCTAGAAGCTTTGGTTTGCAGTAGCTGTCATGGTCCTGAAACTGTAAGGCAGGCTATGGATCTAAATGGCCTTTGCTGTAATGGTCATGCTTTTTATTCATTTCTCTCCATGTCTTGTGCTCAGCTAGCTTTTCTGCATTCTGCTTTAATCTGCTTTCTTGAATTGCTGGTCTAAGTTCATAATCCTGACTGTATTTGAAGTCAGTGTCCATTTTCTGCAGGTAAAGTT